TCCTTCGAGACGAGTAGGGGGATACCCCGGTGTACTGGAACAGACAGCCCTTGTGGTGGACGACGAGAGTTGCTAGTACCGGGTTACCGGGTAGCACAGACACGAAGGGACCCTTAGGGGCGAAGAAAGTCATTGATCGAGTCACTAGTCCACAGTTCAAGCGCCCTGAGCATCTTACATTAGATGGATTTGTGCGCTATATAAAACTACACTATTATTATTATTATTATTATTATTATTATTATTATTATTATTATTATTATTATTATTATTATTATTAACCCATTAACAAAAAGACTCATTGTGTTTCGAATTTTAAATAATGATAAATTTTAATGCTAGGCTCTAGAGGAAAATTTGTCTTGATATGTTGTACAACTTATTGGGTGTGATGAGGCCAGAAAATTGTTTGTTTGCCCTCCTCCACCTAACTTAAAAAAATATGGGCGGAAAAACAAAAAAGCTTTAAGGAAAAAAAGGGTTTTTTTTAGCTTTTTTCTTCAATTAAAAAAAATGTGAGTGAATTTATCTTTATTTTTTGCCAGATGCCCTACAAATTAGTCTAAAGTTGTTATCTGATGTAAGATATTGCTATTGTAGGCCTCTGTGCGTTATTTTTATTCCATCTAATGGGTATTTAAAATAAATAAATAAATGAACTTTTTCCATCCGACCTTATTTATCATTTTAAAAAAAAGAAGGGCAAACAAACAATTTATTTTTTTGGCCCAATCAGAGGAACAGATAATATAAGATACTGTAGGCCTGTTTCAGTGGTGGCTAATGAAAGTTGCCGACAGCATGTCTGACAGGCGATGCGAACCAAGGGACCAACAAGATCCTTGGTACTGGCCCAGGAATAAAAATCCCTGTTCATTGGGGAGAGTTTTTATGGGTTAGTATTGAAAAAATTGTGCTTTTAGTCCACAAAATTAGGGATTGGCAATCAAAATAACGTTATTTGGATAGGCAAATTAATATTTTTAGGACTTCAGTGTGGGGAATTACTCCCACCCCCTGGGGTCAACACTGGTGTTAATGTATATGATAACAGAAAGTATGAAGTAATACACAAACTATTGTAAAAATGTCTTGGAATTGTTATACAGAACCAACAATAACTCAGCACGCGGAGAACTGATTAAGGTAGGCCTAGACTGTAGAATATTTGTTAATAGTTTCTTTTTCTAAAATATGATGCTAACAGTTGGGTATTTATTTTAGGATACAATGCACCCTTCATTTCGAGACCATTTTTCCACCCGAAATTTTTAAGGCCCAAAGGTGGTTGAATTGGGCGAATTGTATTTGAATTTGAGACGCATGATCTCGTAAAGAAACATGAGGGTCAGGAAAAAATAATTTGTAGGATACAACAGTTGGAGAGATAGGGGAAGACATGGGAGGCAGTATAAACAGAGGCATCTGTTGGAAATATCACAACAGCAGTGGCGTAGAAAAATATTTTTCATGGGGGGGGGGTGAAATGATTGGCGTGTTAGCCAGTGTCGTAACAGGCGCGGGGCTGTCTCTTATACACATCTAGATGTGTATAAGAGACAGCATTTAAAGAGTGTCATGAACTCTCTGTTTTTGGCCCCTCTATTTTTAATTCTTGGATCTAAAAGAAAGAGGGGAGAGGGAGGGAAAGAGAAAGAAGAGGAAAAGAAAAGGAAAGAAAAAGAGAAGAGAAAAATAAAGACAAGAATAAAAAGGAAGATATCATAATGACCAGACTCACAACACCCTGCGACCCCTTCTCCACTTCAAAAACTGTCATAACTCCTTTGATCTATGCTGCCCGATGGCGTAACCACTGGGGGACAAGGGGAAAATATCTATCTTTGAAAAATCTTCCCCACCCCTTTATAAATGCCCTTT